GTCCAAGAATAAAGTGGTGATCAAATGCATTTCGAAGGCAACAAATGTACCCTGGCTTACTTATGTAATCATTTGTGAAAGTTCTAGAAGCCAAGCTTGTTGCCAAAATGAAAGTGAATATATGATTTGTAATCAACAATCGTTTTTGTAATTGCTTTCATCCTTCATCCAAAAAAAGTTTGCTTTATCAAATTAAAGAATTGCTCATTACAATTCTAAGGATACATGATTAAAGGCTTAAAGAAGAGACATAGATAAAGTAGGAAAAAATAGAAAAGATTAGTGAACAGAAGAAAGCAATTATTCAAAAGAAACAAAGTAGCCAGCCACATTTGTTCTACAAAGAAAACCCATTAATTTAAAAGCCAGGAAGTTTGATGGTGTAGATCTAAAGAAGAAAAGACGGACTAGCACTAATGCATTTCAAAAATAAAAAGAAGTCTTAAATGGACATTAATTTAGTATGTTTTTTGGTTCAACACACTATACTAACATATTTATTAAAAAATTATTATTTTTTATATGAAATTAGAGATAAACAAACTTAAAAATATAATTATGGATACAGCATATAGAAACTAGTTAAATTGGTTATACTTGTATTATATTTTATAACTAAATTAAACAAGTATCGAAAGATGTATTAAACCGAAAAACCTACCCATCATTTTCCATTTGTTAAAGCATTTGAAGAGACAGTATAGGAAACCGTACAAGGTGAGTGATAACAGTGCCAGGCGTTACAACATGTGTACATTATGCTGTATACACAACTAAACATTACGTTTAATACTACATAGATTCAACCTAAACTTGGTACCTACATCCCATCCTCAAGGTTCTACCACTTGAAATCGAAGTTTAAGTCCAGAGTAGCATGTTGAAAAGCAAAAAGAAAGGGGTAAAGCGTATCATTCATTCTCTAACTTATTCCACAGAATATGGAGCCAAACTGTTCACATTCCAAATACCCCTTACTTAAAAAATGATAATAATTCTTTTTCTTCCTAATCTATCTTTAACCCAAGGATCATTGCAGTCAAAGTTTTATTTCTTCTCTCTTGTCAAATTCTTGAAAGAATTCCAATTAAAGATGAAAACTGTATATAATAAATTCAATCCTAATAATAACAACATGAGTATGATTATTGACCAAAACTCTATATACCAGAAAAAGAAAAAAAAAAAAAAGAAGATAATATCACCATAAATTGCTGACCATAACTCCACGAATTGTTCTACCTATGATAAATAAATCCATCCAATTGTTCAAAATCTTTTTCTTTTTTAAGCAACAACGAAATCAAACATTCCATACACCATTCAACACCGATAATTTTTCCATAAAAAGCAATGAAAATTGATAGAATTTCTGTTAAAGAAAAAGCAAGGTTGAAGTAACTAACAATAGAAACAAATATATTATTCATGCAATGATATGATCGTGAAATATAATAAGATAAAGAATGGGTGATCGGAGTAATGCAAAAGCTAACCTGCAATATTATATGGTTCGGTTCAGGTCCCTTCTTTTCCTTTCCCTCCCCTCCCTCCAGAAATTTGTTCGGAATGTCTCCCTGCAACATTTTAACAAATATTCGATCTCCACCCTAGTGGATGGTGGAGGGGAGAGTTCCTCTGTCTGTCTCTTCTATGTTTTCTTCCTCCTTTTTCCTATTTAACTTTTGCCCTGTTTAGCAATAGAGTTTCCACTGTAAAACAAAACTTTGGATCCCAAAAGCTTGCCCTACTTACTAATTAGGCTTTGTTTGAGAATAATACGTTACTACACCAATACACTTTTTTGCCACTGATGACAAACTGGCCCATTACTAGTCTTGGATAAATTGCTGATGAAACTTTTAGACAAGGGCTATTTTGCCACCCATTATAAGTTTAGGGTGAGTTTGCACGTCAATTCAGTTAAGGGGATAATCTGCCACCGCTTGAAAAGATGAAGGGTTAAATTGCCTGTTGTTGGGAAACAGGCTATAAAACCAGGATCTGGTTAATTTACAGTGATAAATGGAAGAAATTTGTCAGGGTAATTTGAATTTTACAGTGATAAATTGAAGAAATTTGTGAGCGTTATTTGAAGATCATCAGAATCAATTTTGGGGGGAAAAACAATTTCAGCCTTTAGGAACAAAAATTGTTATCCACGTGAACTTTTATTTTGCTAGTGTTATCCATGTCAGCATAATTTCAAACATTCTGTCCATGTCAGCAAATTAATGGTACCCATTAACAGTATTTGTTTAGTGATACAAAAATAATTTTTTTATATAATTTTTATATGCTATTAAATACATAAATACATTCAATAATATAAATCTTGAATAAATAAAAAAAATTAATTATTTAAATAATACATAAAATTATATAATAAAATAATAAAAAAAATTATTTCTAATTCATTTTTTCATGTGATTTAGCCACATTAATACTCCTTCCGATAAATTCTTGGATAGCAAATTGGAGAAGTTCAACTCTGGGAGGAGAGATGGACGGAAGGCTATCAGGTCCTTTCATTTCCCTCCATTTCTTACATTCTTCTATTCATCTCGCTTTCTTACATTTGAATAAATAAAAGAATTTAAAAAATGATATAAATGATTATCCTTCTCTTTCCCCTCTCCTTTAATTTTTTTAATTAAATAAAAATTTCTTTCAACCTTTCAGTCATACAAAACATAGTATAAAAGTCAAGTTCGTTAACCAAATAAAATTGAGTAACTATTTTTTATATAATTTTTATAAAATTTTATATGTTATTTAATTA